GAGACATTTTAGCACATAAAGATCTGAAAACTTTGGAAATGTTTAAAACTGATGTTTAGAAACTAATTCAGTCAAACTGAATATTTACTGAGATTAGATTAGATTAGATTAGATTAGATTAGATTAGATTAGATTAGATTAGATTAGAGTCGGTTGATAAATGGATGGATGGATGGATGGATGGATGGATGGATGGATGGATGGATGGATGGATGGATGGATGGATGGATGGATGGATGGATGGATGGATGGATGGATGGATGGATGGATGGATGGATGATGGATGGATGGATGGATGGTCCGTCGGTCGGTCGGTCGGTCGGTCGGTCGGTTGGATTTCTCCAGAACCAGTCAGATGTTCTGTCACAAGGATGTTGCCAAGCTAACCTCTAACCTTTGACCTCTGGTTCCTGTTTCTGCTTCCTATTGGTTCTGAAGCCCCAGGTCTGTGAAACGACCCGGTCCGTATTTGCTTCTCCTCTGACAACCCAGAGATCTAAACTGGACCTGACAACCACATCCCCCCAGTTCCCCTGGTTCTGGGCTTGGCTTGTGTTCGGACCCATTTTAACCACAGGCATTTACAAGCTTCCCTCTAACCAACCTGCCAGGTGCTTTAAGCCTCCTGCTGAAGGCCAAAGAACGTCATGAGCCTCCAATAAGATTAGCGCAGAATGGGCCGTAAATGGAATAATGGAGGAGCGCATAAAGGGAGAGACTGTTAGCACAGCGATGTGCCGCTCTGAGCTCCCATGACCAATCTGCAGCAAATGAGCATTCAGTGAGCGTGTTCTGTGTCACCGGAGTCCCCAGGCTGCGATGGGGACACCGAGGCGAGCCATTTCTCATATTTGTCAGCGACACGGATAATCGCTTCGGTCAAGTTTTACTTTTATCGTATGGATTCAAAACGCCGAGGACGTTCTCACACTCTGGCTCTGCTTGATGAAAATTCATGGGGCAGCACGCTGCCGACAGCATTTCATCCTGAGGAGTTCATTCTGGAGGCCAGAGGGAAAACACGCTCAATTTCAATTTACAGTCAATAGAATCATTCAGAAAAACTTTGTAAATGGTTAAACTTAGATTTAGAAATTAATTTCTTGAAGGTGAATAAATTATCTTGATGTTATCTCAATTACTGAGACGATGGATGGATGGATGGATGGATGGATGGACGGACGGACGGACGGACGGATGGATGGATATTGGTGAAACAAATCCTGATTTTCCAAAAATGGATTTCAAAAACCAAAAATTTGATCAAATCGATTAATCGCTTAATCGTCTGCATTAAGACCCATAAAGCCCATCGACCTCAGAAGGCGAAGAGATCTGGCAGAGAACGACCTAAACGGGATAGCTAAGCAAGTACACACACACACACACACACACACGCACGCACGCACGCACACACACACACACACACACAGTCAGCATAAGCTGCTTTCTGTCTGCCTGCACAGAATGAGCCGATGTTTAATAGAAAGTTAATATGACTTTAACGCTCGTTGTTGCAGCGCAGCACTGAAAGGCGGCGCTAATCCGCTCTGTTCCACTGACTTTCAGGCCCTCACATCCTCACTATTACTCACCATTGCACAGATGAAAGTATGTTCACTTATTTACATAAAATACCACCAAATGCACCGTAATTCAGGACGTTATAAAAAATCATGCATCCCACAATGTTAGCATCTTCTTTTGAAAAGAAGTACTAAAAGTGAAATACATTTTCTGCAATTGCAATTCCAGTCCTGCAGCTTTTGATTTTTTTTCTGCTCCAACACACCTGAATCACACGAGTAGTTAATGACAAAGTTTTTTCAGAAATTGCTGGCCACTAGATTTTTACTGCAAAAACTGCAATAACTGAAGAAAACACATGCAGAAATTGAAATACAAAAAGATTTTGGTTAATTTTTTTTAGTTTGTGTTCAGTTTTGCGGACCAAGTGATGTCCTCTCTAAATTAAACTGAAAAAACTAATTTCTTCTTTTAACGACTGCAGATGTATTTTTGGAGTAAGCGAAGGCAGGCGGCCATGTTTTTGCTGACGCAACGCTTATGTGAGAACATTCAGTCTACACTGAAATCAGACTAAAACAAAAGCAAACTAACTTAAACTAAAGCAAAACACTAAAATAACATTTCTTGCAATCTTTGAGGTAGAAGTGAATAATACAATTGTAATAATGCAAAAAAATGGATAAATTTTAACTATTGATCTTTTAATAGAAACAAATTTCTAAAAAATTTACATATCACCAACATTACTTTGTACCATAATGGCAGTGAAATTAAATAAAAAATGTTTGGAGCTCTTTTTGCCTCACAAATTAGTGTCACTGCTAATCTTTGACTATAATGTTTTAAAAACCTAAAAACACAGAAAATTTTTGGTTCTGAGAAAGATTAAATGCTTTATTCAAGCAGAAAAAGAACTAATAAATGCTCTTTTGAAAGCAGATTTTATGTACATTTTCCCCATGATGATGCAAAATGCAAAGAGACGAGAGAGTTTCGACTCTGAATGCTGAAAAAAACTGCAAACAAGGAGTTCCTGGTAAACTTTAGACAAAAAAAGTGGATTTTTATGTTACAAATGCACACAGACCACTCAAGTGGACAATAGTGAATCATACAATACACTGCCAACTACTTGCCATTCACTGCAAGTGTAAGAACATTTTTGTTAAATCCAATATGGCCGACAGATGGAAAACCAACTCAGGAACATCCAGTCCCTCCTTCTTCTGCAGAGGACTCTTACAGGTAACAAATAACTTTGTATTTGGAGAAAATCACAGCTGATCACCTATAAAAGGTCCTTTTTTAATAATGTCTTAAGAAAATCAAACACTTTGGAAAAAAATCCTGCCATAAAGGATCATAATTCATGTATGAAAGTGTTCATTTCTGTGAGCCGTTGACAGAGTGAGTGAACGTGAAATGGTTAAAGGTGATTAAAAGTGAAACGTTAATGGTGCTCATAAGAAATGGAAACACTTTGCAAATAACAGCAGGAATGTAAACATTTATTGCAGTTTTTGATGCAAAATTTAAGGAATGACTCTGGATGCTGAAAAAACTGTAAACAAAGATTCAGCTAATCCGCAAATATAACAAAGAAAATAATCAGGAATAAATTTCTCCCTTGACGTTGGAGGATTTTTCTGCTCCTTTGTGACATAAATGCGTCTGTTTGTTCAGACTTCAGAGAGTTAACAGGAGAATTAACTAGTTATGGCCGCAGACAGCTTGTTTGCATGTGTAATGGGCGCAGCCACTAATAATGGAGGCGGGTCGGTGTTGTAAGACTTTGCTGGGCTAATGGCCTTAAAATGAGTCTTAACTGGTGTTAAATTCACCAACAGCTGCTGTTCTGGTTAAGAATCGGAGCAGCAGGTCGGAGAGTCTGTCAGACGAGGAGGACAAATTAGTTCTGCTGATGCTCATCAACCATCTGCTCCACTTCAGCACAATGGAGGGATTTTCTGAACGAATAAAATGCTCTGAATGCAACACTTTCTTTTTTTATTTATTTATTTTTTTGGTTAAGGTGTCAAATGTCTGAGCGGAGCAGATTTAATGATCTCTTCCTTTTTGTGGAGCAGCAGATCGTTTTGTCTCTGTGCCTTAAAACGAGGCGTTTATGGGATTAAAATGCTGCACAGATTCACACAGATTGGTTTGATAAAAGCAACAATTTCTTTTAGAGAATCAACAAAGAAAGTTTCTTTAGATTTTCTTTAGTTTCATCCCAAAATTTTGGGATTTGTTTGAAGATTTCAGCCAGTGGTAAATATTTGTGTTTCTCTAATAAAAGCTAAAAGAAAACAAAACAAAGCAGGAAAATGAAGTATTTCTAAAGCACAGAAAGAAATGAATTTGAGTTGGATGGATAGATGGATGGACGGACGGACGGATGGGTGGATGGATGGATGGACGGATGGATGGGTGGATGGATGGGTGGATGGATGGACGGATGGATGGATGGATGGATGGATGGATGGATGGATGGATGGACGGATGGACGGACGGACGGACGGACGGACGGACGGACGGACGGACGGATGGATGGGTGGATGGACGGATGGATGGATGGATGGATGGATGGATGGATGGATGGATGGATGGATGGATGGATGGATGGGTGGATGGACGGATGGATGGATGGACGGATGGGTGGATGGACGGATGGATGGATGGATGGATGGATGGGTGGATGGACGGATGGGTGGATGGACGGATGGATGGATGGACGGATGGATGGATGGATGGGTGGATGGATGGATGGATGGATGGATGGATGGATGGACGGGTGGATGGATGGATGGATGGATGGGTGGATGGATGGATGGATGGATGGATGGATGGATGGATGGATGGATGGATGGGTGGATGGATGGATGGATGGGTGGATGGGTGGATGGATGGATGGATGGGTGGACGGACGGACGGACGGGCGGGCGGGCGGGCGGGCGGATGGATGGACGGACGGACGGACGGACGGACGGATGGATGGATGGATGGATGGATGGATGGATGGAGGACGGTTCATGTGGAATTGTCCACAGAGTCATAATTCATGCAGGTGAATCTGGACATAATTTGTTCATCCAAAAGTTTGAGATTAATCTCAAAAATCTTCTAGAAAAAATACAAATTTCACAAGTTCAACATTTTTGACTTTTTGGGTTTTTTATTGGCCAATTTTCGACTTTTCAAACTCAGACCTTTCTTTGTTTTTCCTTAAAAATTTCTGAGATTAATATCAAAATTACTTGCCAGAAAATGTGCTCCTGCTTTCTTAATCTGCATCTTCCCTGCAGTTCCCTCATCCGGACCTTCAGGGACCTCAGCTCTGAACTGGTCTAAAACTTCCAGCTCTTAATGGGAGTAAGGGTGGACCTTCTGACGCGTACTGGTGTGTGGGAGTAACTCCAGTATAAAACCAGTTACAGCAGCTCCAGAGACCAGAGCAGCAGTTTTTTTATTTGCCCCAGTTTGGAGCACCATGATGTTCCCGTGCAGCGCGCTGCCGCCGCCTCTCTACCCGGGCTTCCTGCGTCCTCCCGCGGCTCTCTCCGCGCCGCTCGGCCGTTCGCTGCCCTCCGGCTTCCTGGTGGAGGACCTGCTGCGGCTCGGCCAGCCTGTCGGCTGCATCCACCGCGCCTTCTCCTCCGGGAGCCCCGGGGAGCTCATCCAGCTCGGCCCGGGGCTGGGAGCTTCTGCTGGCCCGGAACCACCCAACCGAACCGGGTCGGACTCGGGATACCTGAAGTTCGGCGTCAGTACCATCCTGGCCCCGTCCACACGGAGCGGTGAGTTCCTATTGGCTGAGCAACTAATAATCAACATAAACTGCAATAATATTGATCTCTAGGGAAATTACTAATAACTTTTAGTTATTAGAAACTTAATTATTATATTTTTATTTGTTTGATAAGAAAAATCGACTTAAATTCGTTTTTGTTATTTTTAAAAGTTTTAAATTTGAAATAAATGTTTTTAACTTTTTAAATAAAATTAATGAAAATTAATCAAAATTTATAGATGTGTGCATATATATGACAATATTTAAAATAATTAAGTATTAATTAAATATTAATTACAAAAGCAAATTTATTTCCTTTTGGAATCAATAAAGTTTATGAATTTATTTATTTATCTTTATTAATAGAAACCGTCTCGTTGAGATTTAAGACCTGTTGTGATGAAACAAACACAAATATTTATTTAATAAAATCTATAAAGAGATTTCTAATGTTTTTATATAAAACAACATTAACATTTCACATAAACTCAGTGGCTTGCAAACAAAATATGTTTTTTAAAATCATTTCAGGAGGAATTATATAACTACTGCTTATTATTAATTAAATAATATACCAGTTTTGCAACAAATTAAGAGGAAAATCTTTAAAATGTCTTCAAAATATGCAATAATAAGATGTATTTCTTGTTTTTTCAATGTTTGGCATAGATTTTATATTCAAGATGCCTATTTTCTGAGTTTATATACATTTATATCAAAATCTGTTTTTCAAAATGCCAAATTGGATCAAACAGTGGGCAGAAAGTGGATCCAGATGCTGATTGGATGATTTTAATCATTTTCATGTGATGGAGTGAGACTCTTCTTCCTCCTCAGTTCAGAGTCTTCAGTCGAAGTCGCTGCCGTTCTTTGACGGAAACCTTCATCCTCTCATCAGAGCCTCGTACCTCTCAGGTAGGACATCCGGTTTATTAAACTAATCTGTTCTCACATTTCTACGTTGAATCTGAGTTTATTTCTTATGAGTTTCTTCCTCAAAATTCTGGTAAACAAACAAATAAAACTATTATTATTTGATGTATCATCAGAGTTTTTGCAGGGTTGGGTGCAACTCTGCGAAACATTTACTCAATTATATTTACCTGAGTAACTTTTTATTGATAATGTACTTTTTTACCATGCTTTACTTTTACCTGAGTAATTTTGTCATGAAGTATTTTTACTCTTACTCTTGAGTATTTCTGGATTCTTTACTCAGTAAAAGAAAAATTAACATGTTTTAACCAAAAATCCAAAGATATGCACCTGCAGGCTATGTTAAGGTTTTATAAGTTTTATATGGAAAGAAACTGATTCAGAAATATTTGAGTTTCTTATTTTTAGTTCCTTGTATGAATTGATGTAATTTTGGTCCTTAAAATACCAAAATATACTTCTTTTTTTCTCTTACTTGAGTCTTACTTGAGATTAGTGCAAAGCACAGAATAAAGGACTTTTAAACTCTATTCTGTTAATTATCTTTCCTCAACTTTAAACATTTAGAGGACAAATTTTCATGCATGTTGTTTATTTCAGATAATTTCTCCCTGAAAACATAAAGCAAAATAAATCAAGAATAGCTTCACATTCATAAGGTTGAAATAAAAACTTCAGGTAAATTTGTAAAGTAAACCTTAAAGAATATTTAACCATTTTGTGCACTTTTACGATGCCTCAGTTATTTGTGATCAGTCTTATGCTATGTAAACATTTTGCCGCCTGAAGGCCTCATCCTGTAAAAAGACACATTGATGATGTGAAACTGCAATTTAATTTATGTTAAAATCAAATTAATAAGCTACAGTAAAATGAAAGATGAGTTTTATCAGGTCTGCAGTTTTTCTGCATTTATTTAAAGTTTTTGGGGAATTTTGAAGCTCAAATGATTTAATTTTCAGCTGCAAAGTAAATTTGTTCCACTATATTAAGGAAATTTGAAAGATTTTAAGCTTTGCACAAATTTTAAAGTGAAACTTCAGACAGACTAAAGAGGTTTGCGGTAGGATTAATATCTCTGGTCTGCATGTGAAACACCAATATGTTTGCAGTTAATATTTCTTTTTAAGCAAATGTATGGAAATATTTATACATTCATGTAACTTTCTGAATGAAAGGAAGCTACATAAATGGTTTTGCCAAATAACGTTTCTTAGCCCCTCATCTCTTCAGTTTCTTTCCCCTGATCAAAATACACAAGATTTTCACCAGCTGATGGATGGATGGATGATGGATGGATGGATGGATGGATGATGGATGGATGGATGGATGGATGGATGGATGGGATGGATGGATGGATGGATGGATGGATGGATGGATGGATGGATGGATGGATCTGCCTGTTGGGAATTCGTGGATCTGAATCGGCTTGTTGGGTCTGAACGCCTCTTTAGCCACAACACTGACTGCTGACATTAGCACCAGTTCTCCTAATCTACAAATTAGTCCAGTTTGTTCCGCTCTGAACAAATCAGTGGCGTTTGTCATGCCTCTAAATGTGAGGCGGGTATCTTCCCAGCTCAGGATCTCCGCCGTTTTCCCACCAAACCTCCTCTGCCGGCCCACAAAGCATCCGGCTCCGTGACCAATCGGAGGCAGAGCCACACACACACACACGCACGCACGCATGCACACACACACACACACACACACACACACACACACACACACACACACACACACACCACACACACACACACACACACACACACACACACACACACACGCACACACTTTTACATACAAGCGCAAGAACAGCTCTGGGATTCCAGCGAATTAAGTCTAAAATTCAAGTTCAGCTATCTTTACTACGATTACTTACGATTTCTCATCTGAATAATTTCTGCCTAAATATGGACATAATCTTATTTTAGAGCTCCAAGTGAAATGTTTGTACTTCCTTCGCTGAGTTATTGCCATTTGAAGAAATACACCTATAAAATGTTGTCTCCCGTAATTTTACCTATTAAAAACAAAAAGTTTTAAAAATGAATTTGTATCATTCTTTAATTGCAGTTGGGGTCCAGAATAAATCACTCCAAGTGCCACAGATGGCCCCCGGGCCGCATTTTGAACACAAGTATCTCAGTTTCTCAGGCTGAGTTTTCTTTCAAATAGTTTAGATTCAAATTAGTCAACCCACAAATGCATTTTACCTACAACTGTAGCAACATTCAGGAAGGATAAACAAGTTTTCCAACAGCATAAGATTTAATGCCATGAAGAATTAAAAATAATAATCAACCAAACACAAACTGCTACATTTTATTTGGAATATGCAATGGCATAAAAGTTCACTTTTATTCAACTCAATTTGATTTATGACATGCCAAATCAAAGCTAATAACTTAAAATGGAATGTGCTGTAAAATTGCTAGCATAGCTTCCATTTCAGCATAGCGTCTCTTTTAGCATTAGTTATTTTTAGCATAAATTCTGTTTGAAAATCAATTCTGCTTTAGCATGTCTGCTGTTTTAGCATCATTTCTACTTTAGAATAAATTCAGTTTTAGCATATTTTTCATTGTAGCATATCTGCTATTTTAGCATCAATTATGTTTTTATATAAATGTGCTAGCTTAACTTCCACTTTAGCATTTCTTCTGTTTTAGAATAAATTCAGTTTTATCATATTTTTCATTGAAGCACGTCTTTTATTTTAGCATCAATTATGTTTCAGCTTCACTTCCGTTTTTATATAAATGTGCTAGCATAACTTTCTTTTTAGCATATCCTGTTCTAACACCACTTCTGTTTTAATGGGTTAGGGTAGAGTAATGATGTACAGCGGAACAGGCCTAATTATCTTCCATTTATATCAATTTGAATCAATCAATTGATTTCCAATGCATCAGTGCAGAGTGTCTGGGAAAAGATGAAAAATAATAATTTAAAGGAATCAAAAAGTTTCTTCTGACATTTTCTCTGATTTATTTGCTGCTAACGTGATGAAACTCGCATAACTCTCTGACAGCTCTGCCTTTAATGTGCCTGTAATATACCGGCCTGTCGACGGCCTTTTCCACTCAATTCATTACAACACAATCAGCCTTCTCTGTGCATTTGCAGCCTATACAACCTGCACTCCCCCCTCTTCATGCTTCATTAGAGGCCTTGTGAGCCGCTCTTTGGAGGGCCCGTCTCATTAGCATCGGCTGTGTTTCCAGCGCCGGACAAATTGGGCTCTTCAAGCGTCAGATTTGAAGCAGAACGGGGATATTATGAGGAGCATCGGGGAGCCTGTGTGCTCATTACGGGGACAAGAAGAGGCTCACAGCGCCGACAAACGTGGAGGAGAATCACGCGACAAAGTTCACAAGACCTCACGCTGAATCTGCATCTCTGTTTCTCACAGAGTGGAGTCGTAATATTTACTCATTTACTGGAGTAACTTAATGAAAAAAATACTATTATGAGGGTTTTTATACGCTGTCATTTTTACTTTTACTTCAGTCAATATATGATGTATTTCTATTGTTAATTGAGTAAAATTTGAGAAACAAACATGTTTTAAACAAAAAATCAACAGAATCACACACACACCTGAACTATTTGTCAAAGTTTAAAAAGTTTTTATTGAGAGAAACTGATTTGGAGACTTTTTTTTTTGTTTTTTGTCTGATTTTGATATTTTTTGTTTTATGAATTATTGTCATGCTGGTCTTAAAAATAACAAAATTTCTACTTAACTTTACATTTTAGTTCCTCTGATGAATTTTTATAGATTAAAAGATTGATAATTTGATCAGTTATCAATACTTGAGTAGAGGTTTTAACAAATATTTTATTACTCTTCTTGGGTTGCTACTTTTTACTTTTACTTGAATAAACATATGTTGAATCTGAACACATCATGGTGGATATTCATAAATATCAAATTACATATATTTTGGGTTATATAAACATACATTATATAGTCATGTTTAATATATTGTAATATATGGAAAGTGACAATTATTAGCATATATTGCAATATATTACATGAATATATAATATCCATGTAATATATGAATATATATTATAAAATTGTATAATATACAATTTTATATATTTACAACATATTGGAAAATATATTGGCAAAATAACATATTTCATAGGTGAGTGCATATTCCTTTGATAAGGGATCTTGTTCTCTGTTCCTGCAGCCTGCTCCTCCTCCTCCTCCTCTTCCTCTGTGGTTCCAGTCCCAGGAACGTTTTCTTGGCCTCTGGCCCCCCGGGGGAAGCCCAGGAGGGGCATGCTGCGGCGGGCCGTGTTCTCGGACCTCCAGAGGAAGGCGCTGGAGAGAACCTTCCAGAAACAGAAGTACATCAGCAAACCAGACAGGAAGAAACTGGCTGGAAAACTGGGACTGAAGGACTCACAGGTATGACTGGGACCAGTTCAGGAAGTGATGAATAATCTGCCAGTGAGGGCGAAGTGCAGGTTTGCTGCCCTCTACTGGACCATCTATGTAATGCAGGGCTTTTTCTTTCTTTTCTTTTTTCTTTTTTTGTAGATTTTGACATATTTATGGGATGGAAAACCTAATAATTCTGAAAATTTTAAAGTTTTTTCAGTTCTAATATAAGTTAATTGTTTAAAATATTAAAATTAATCAGTTAAAGTTTGTAATTCAGTCGTTTTAACTACAAAGGAAAATTTATCACCATTTTCTGGTTAAAACTTTGTGATTCTTGTCAGACGATTCTCTAAAGAAACATACCTGAAAGGCAAGAAATCCATCCATCTGTTTATCCAGTCATCCAACCAACCATCCATCTTTTTATCCATCCATCCTTGTAGGTTTTTGGTCATTTTTCTGCTCTTTATCTCTTTCACTTTGGGGTTAATTAGCCAACCTTGTGTCCACATTAAATATTTCCCCAGATGGATGGTCAGCAAACAACCCAAAGTCTCATTAATCAATACTTTTTTTCAGCAGCACCTTTTATGAAATAATGTGTAGAAATTAAAGATGGCTTCCTCTCTAATCAACGCTCTGTTTGCGCTCTTCGCAGGTGAAGATCTGGTTTCAGAACCGCAGGATGAAGTGGAGGAACTCCAAGGAGCGCGAGTTGCTTTCGACGGGCGGCTGCCGCCAGCAGACCCTCCCCACCAAAACCAACCCCCATCCGGACCTGACCGACGTGGGCAGCACCTTCTGCAAGCGGCTGACCCGAACTGCAGCCGACAGCCAGGAGCCCCACCACCACCATCATCATCATCTTCACCACCAGAGCCCCTCCTCTCCGTCAGACCTGAGCAAACAGTCAGAGTCCGACGGTGAAGAAATCACGGTTTCATAAGGAGGAGTGACGTCAGAAGCTCCAACGTGCCTGAATCTGCTGTGTATATATCTGTATTTACTCATCGTGTTCCTGTACAGATCCGTTTATTGGCAGCTAATTGAAGCTCACTGTGCTGCTCTAGATTTAATATTTGTAGATTGGAAAGTTTCAAACTTAAGGTTGCAAAATGTTCTGCATTTTTTCATATTTTTGTTAAAATAAATTTGAAAAACTGTCCTTTGTGTGTTTATTGGTGTATTCAGGTGCAGTCACATTGGTTTTTGCTAATTAGATGCAAGTTATCCATTAATGAGTTAATATAAAGTTGATTGATCTTATCGATCAATAAGTGATAAATTTTCATAAAGGGTTACATTTTTCATAATATGTTTAATAAACATTCAATTTATAATTACTTTTGCATCAGCTGTATCAAATACAGACAGGATAAAGTGTTTTACACTTAGACATGCTGGTAAAATATAACAGAAATATGTGGATAAATAGAGAAATAAAAGAAGCAGCAATAAAATGTTAAACACTTCCACGTTAATAAAGATATTCATAAGAACCGTCTGTTAAAACGTCACTTCGTTTAGTGCATTAACCCACCACTGACCTCAAATTCATATTTGCTTTTTTTGCTTCATGTTCTTTAAACAGCCGCCATCTTTGTTTTTCTATCAACAGTTCTGCTAACGGATGACCAGCGGCTGAAAACCAAACGTATCATGTTAGAACCAAAACCTCATCAGCATTTAGGAGAAGGAGGCCTGATGATTTATGTTTTGCAGATAAGATGATCTGAGACAATGATACTAAAACACAGCAACAGACACACAGAAAACAACCACAGTGATGCAATGGCATAGTCAAAGTCCAAACTGAAGTATCAGAGTAGAAGAAGGTTGTGCAGAAACAAAAATGTCCAAAATGATGATGTAGTTTCACTGAGCAGTTTGATCCAGATGTTTTGCCCGAGGATGTAATTGATGATGTTCGCCACATGAGGGCGCACCAGGACCAGAAACAAACTCACTCATTGCGCTAAACCAGGGATCTGCAGTATGGTGATACATAAGATATTCATCAACAATGATGAATATCATTTCTTTGAAATGTAAGGAAACATTTGTGGCTCTAAACAAGTTTTTATTTAGCTGAACTGAGGGCAAAAAGGACTGTTTGGATTTTAAAGGTTGCATATTTCTGAGCTAAGAACCGAACACAAACACAAAGTTTTGGACATAAGAAATATTTTTATTCCTACCAACTTAATCAGTTTTTTCTGAATTCTTAAATATTTTTACTTTAATGTTGAAATAAATAAAATAAACTGACTAAACATCAAACATCCTTCAATAAGGTACAAATAATGATAATTAAAAAGTTTATTCTGTCACTGAAGTCTTTAAATAAACAACAAATGAAATAATTTTAGTCGAGAACAAAACTGATCCAGTTGTTTTAAAGCGTTAGTTAATCTATATATACTTTGTGTCTCTCTGTTCCAGGTGAGGTTGTCTCGTGTCTTTGTGTCTCACTGCGTCCCATTTGGTCCAGCAGAACCTTGGATTACGTCTCGGATTATCTGGGCGTCCCTCTGCAGAGCCTCGTTGTGGGGCTCGATCTTCAGAGCTGCTTCATAGTCTTGTAGTCCTGAAAACAACAAATTGATCAGCTGATCACCTGTTTTCTGCAACGCCAGTAAGAAAAGAGAAACAGCATTCTGTCCTCAAATGATATTCACATCAAATCTATTGATACAGCTTAAAATGTGTCTTTCATTTAGATTTCATACGATAAACCAACCCAAAGTGGTGCAAAATTGCTGAAAATATTGATCAATATAATCTGCCAGTGGAAGTAGAAGTTTCTCATTAATATTAAGGAATTATTTACTTAAAACAAGCTCCTTATCTTGATGAAAAGTTACTTGTAAGTTAGTTTTGTCTTATTTCAAGAGTACTGAGATATTTGCACTGGAAACAGGACAAAAAAAATACTTGGTAAGATTCTGTGTTTTTGCAGCGTAATGTGGCTCAAATGCACAGGAAATGGGGCGTGAATACTTTTGTAAGGCACTGAAGGAGTTCAAACCCTGACGGAAACAGCAGACCTTCAGCGAAGAGCTCCAGCTGGCAGAATGCGGATCCTCGGCGAACTCTGGCTCGGACTCTGGCTGCAGCGTTGGCAGAAACGGCCGGGGTCAACAGGTCCAGAGCCTGCAGACACAACTCAGGGTTAAAGTTGGCATCTGAAGCCATAAAAGTTTACAAAAATAAAATACTTCTAACACCAAAATGTGAAAAGATCAACCTGGGACTGAAGGCTGAAAAACGCATCACTATATGAACGGTTCATATCAAAAATTACTGATTTGTTTCTTGTTTTAAATATTGGAATTACTGGCAAAGCGACATTTCCTGTTTCATCCACAGTTTTCTCTCCATGTCATTGTTTTATTTTTCATTTTTAAGCAGTTAAGATGCCCGGTGGGGAAACCTTGAACTGATGCACAAGTTCTCAACAAGCTGTTGCTAGGTAACCAAAGAGTCAGTGGGTTGCTAGGTAACCAAAGAGTCAGTGAGTTGCTAGGTAACCAAAGAGTCAGTGAGTCAGTTGACTGAGTTTAGCTGTTGAAAGTTTTTTCTTTGCCTACATCAATCAGAATGATGTGCAGTTCTGGGTCAAAGTTCAGTTAAAGTATTGAATTTTCCATCACATGTATTAGCTATTAATATTGATCACGTGCCGATGGGGATCAGCGCTGTTACTGATTTGCTGTCCAGCCCTACGTGGAGGTGTAAAAATCCCCGTCACGCTCATCGTCAGACCGACCTTGGAGGAGTCCTCGACGGCTTTGTGCAGATTCCTGAGCTTCAGGTGACACGCCGCCCTGTTTGAGTAGAGAGCAGGCAGCTTCCTGTTGAGGCGGATCCCCAGAGTGTACGCGTTCACCGCCCCCACGTAGTCTCCGTTCGAGAAACACTTGCTGAAGAGGAGAGAGTTCGTTTACCGGATCTGATCTGATTTCACCAGCTGCGTTTTCATTGACCGTATGCTTGTGCAAAATTAAAATGAATTTGTTTAGAGGGAACAAAAAAAAAAAACTTATGTTTTTGCACCAGCATGTGTTCATTTCTTTGGTTGTATCAAAATCAGCATGTTTTGCAAAACTGCAATGGAAACACTTTTTTGCATCAAAAGTCATGTGGTCAAAAACCGGCAGTTACTACTGCTGGAAATGATGAAAAAGACAACAGGAAGTGCCAGGAGGAAGATGTTTTCTAATGACTTATCATGTGAACAAACTCATTCACGTGATCTTAATTGCACTTCTTATTTAATGGAATGACAATGTTTGAGCTCATTTGTAAGGTTTCTACTCACTCGCCCTTCTGCTTCAGCCAGTCGGGGTTCCTCTCCTCCTCCGTCAGGTCCTCCAGCTCCTCCAGCTCCGCACTCATCGCTCGCCTCGCCTCCGCCTGCTTCTTCAGCCACTGTTTAGAAGCAAAACCTCATCACTTTTTAACTCCAGACAATCACAAAAGGTTAAAGCTCCTAAAAGCTGAGGCAGAGATCGAGGAAAGCTTTTCTTTTATTATAAAGATTAAGGAATTAATGACTTAAAACAGGCCTCTATATCTTGCTGAAAAGTTACTTGTAAATTAGTTTGACTTACTTCAAGTGTACTAAGATATTTGCATTACAAACTAAACTAAACATACTTGGCGATATGTTGTATTTTTCCAGTGAAAGACGTTTCACTGCTGGCCTGTTATAAGTGGGAACATCACAAAGTGGGAAACTAACAACATTTTGTTGAAAATGTAGCAGGAATGTTTGGATTCCCTCAGTTTTCCAGTGAAATCACAGACTCACCTCTTCCTCTTCGGGAACCCGGGACTCTCGGAGCGCTGTCGGGAAAACTCGAGGCGTGAACGTAACTGGAATGTTTCCGCAGGTTCTGGGAGGAGGCAGCTGGGCTCGGATCTTCTTCTTCTTCTCTGCATCGCTGTGAACTACAAGCAGGAAGGTTTTCATTGAATCTGACTTTATGGATCAGGAGGAGGCGTTTAATCAGCAGGAAAAGTCTCACCTTGTTTGTTCTTCCTGATATCTGTTTGTCTGTCTCCAGGTGTCTTTGGGTTCTGTTGGATCTGACGGTTCTGGTTCTGTTTCTCTGCTTCCTGTTTCTGCCTCAGCTGCCACGCTGCCAGCTCTGCCGTCGTTTTCTCTCGCTCTGCGTCCTTCATCTGCTGGATTCTGTCTCTTTCCTCCTTTTCCAGCTGATTTAAAGTCATTTTAAGTCACTAAACATCACACTGTAAAAAAGAGAACGCAGCTCCAACTTAAAAAAATTAATTCCTCACAGTGAATCAAGCTTATCCAAGGTAATTTATTAAGTTATCAAGATAAACAAATGTAAATTTAATAAATTAAATTTAATTACTTGTGACCAGTTAAGTCTTTTTTTAGTTTGAGCTGCATTCTCTTTTTAAGTGCAAGTTTACTGTAAATCAACACAATTCCTGATGTTTTTGATGCTCTAAATGTGTTTTTTTTACCTTCATCATCGTCTCCAGAGCATATTTCTTCTCTGCTTGCCGTTTCTCAGCTTTTTGTTTCAACTCTGCAGAAAGTTTCTGCTCCTGTGTCAGTAAAGCTCTCTCTCTGATCGCCTTCTTTGTTTCTTTATCATCTAAAAACACATAATAAACTTTATTTATTTACACCTCTGCTGGTGAATAAAATGCATTCAATTCAGATCTTTTATCCCAGTTTAGGAATAATTTGGAAAAATCTGACCTGTGGTTATCATCAGATGCTCCCAGACTTTGTGAGTCTTTTTTGGTAAAGTGAAAACAGCGACGCCGTTTCCGACTTTCGCCGAACTTCGGTCATCATCGACGGGTTCGAACAGGAAGGCCTCAAACAGGAAGGGAGGAAAATGGACCTGAGGATGGAGGAAACATGCTGCCATGTTTTCATTTATCAAACTCATCAAACATTTCAACAAAAAGCCAGAAGAAAATTTTAATTTTATTAAATTTGAAAGATGTTTCCTTCGGCAGAACATTTAATCTCCTCACCACTAATATTTAATCTTTTAGTAAAATATGTCTTGAATTTCTAAGCGCATTTCTAAATGCATTTTTCTGTAAATGTTAGATTTAAGAGATGATTTAAACTTCTGAACAGCAAAATATAACTTAAAGTGTCTTGTGAAATAACCATGATTAGGTGTTTTAAAGAGAACGAGCCACAAAGTTTAAAAACTCTTTTTCTGTATAATACATAAACGTTTTCCATGCATTTATGTCCCATCTAAGAAATTACTCAGAAGAGAGTGAAAATTAAACATCAATCATTTAATAATTAAAAATTACATCATAGGACAGATGAAATTTTTTTTATTTATGTGGAAATTTTAGCGTTACTAAGGACCAAAATGAAAATAATTGATGTAACATGATTAGAAAATGACAAAATCAGGAAAAGCAGAATTTTCCACATCAATTTCTTTCAATATAAAAACTTCTGAAATGTTAACAAAAACTGCAGCTTCTGGTGAATTGTTGGTCAAAACAAGCTTGTTCTTCATTCAGTGAAGTTACTGAGCGAGTAGAGCATCATACATGACATATTCAAGTATAGCTGAAATATTAATTAATTAATAATTAACTAACAATTAATTATTGATTAATAATTAGGGGGCTACTGGGATTCCTAGGCGGCTCCGTAATATCAATAAACTCAATTAAATTAAGTTTATTATACACCAAAAAACGTATTGTTATTAATATTATTAATATATACATAGCTTATTCTTTTGCTAACTTTTCTCCCTACACATTTTGGTCTCCACGATTACAATCTGTTTGTTTCCAGTAAATCTCTGTTATTATCCAAAAATATACCAATACTGTTATTATTATCATTATTTATGTATTTACTATTATCACTATTAGTAGTAGTAGTTGTAGTACTACTAGTAGTACTAGTACTATTACTACTAGCAGTAGTAGTATGAGCCCCTGACCTTTCACCTTTAGGTATTCCTCGGTCGACACGATGTCCACTCCAGCCGCCGTCGCTCCCTTTAAGGGGACGCTGATGTGGACCGTGGAGTCCGTCTGGGTCCACGTGAAGTCGGTCACGTGCAGTGGCATGTCGGCCTGACCGCGTGTTGCTGCTGCTGCCGCCGATAAAAACAAAAACGTTGTTATCAAATTTCAGATTCTGGGCCGCCGAGTTTCCCTGCGTTTCCAGGACTTCTGTTGCTATAGCGACGAAAGAAAAACAGAGTGTTGCGTTCGCGAGCGTAGGAAATTTCACCGCCTTACTTATTTATGACGCCGGTTATCTCGACGCCATAACGTTGAAAACTATAAAAACAGTGATTGTTTTTGACCTCTGGTGTTTTATAATCTTTAATGGATTTCTAAAATCACTTCTAGCAAGAATTTGGCTGTTAAAATATATTGTTCCAGCTCTTTTTGATCATTATTATTATTATTATTATTATTATTATTATTATTATTATTATTATTATTATTATTATTATTATTATTATTATTATTATTATTATTATTATTATTATAACTTCTTCATTCGTGATTTTTATTAATATCTTTCAAAATGCTCCTGATCTTTTTTTAATATTCATCAGAGAGCCAATAAATGAAAAAAAAAACAAAAAACTCAGAGACCTGCAAGAAAATGATATTTAGTTGGTGGAAAACAATACAACATAACGAGGTAAACGTCTAGGGATTACAGAGAGACATGGATAAAGAGAAGAGACTACAGAGAAATAAATAAATACATAATTAAATAAATAAATAAATAAATAAATACATACATAAATACATAAATAAATAAATAAATACATAATTAAATTAATTAATAAGCAGAAGTCAAATTGAAATATAGTATTTTTTAAGGGAAAGCCAAAGAAATTTAAATAAATGAATACATTAATGGATATCTAACATTTTAACTTAAAATTCTCTGGCAGATCTGTGTGATGTATGATGAGCTTAAGATAAAACATTTAGCATTTTTTCTGGCATCTGTGTTGTTGAGATGAAAGTAGACCCCAAAATAAATTTCTGCTGTGGTGGTTTCTGCAGAATTAGATCTGTGTGTTCAAACAGGTGAGAAATGAAACTGATGTGTTTCATTTCTCACATTTGTTCTGTGTTCTTGCCCTTTTTATCCAATTCACTATCACTTTTTTATCTTTATTGACTTGTGTCAATAAAGAGCACTGTGTATCTTATCAGGATGGTGTGACGTTGAAAACAATGCGAAACTCACAAGTCATAACCTTCTGGCCGTAAGTGTCTAAACACGGTTTGTGAATGAAAACCAAGAGTCAAATACAGACATAAAAAAAATAAATTAAACTTTCAGCCTAGGCCTCAGTAATTAAACTATACTTAAGATATTGTGACGGTTTATGGATGAATGTGCCCTGTTGATATCCTACGAGTCATTTCAATTGTTGACTATATCCTTCATGACTTGGTATTTTTTGCGTTTTTATGACATAAAGCACTTTGAACTGTCTTGTTGCTGAAATGTGCTCTACACATAAAATTGATTGATTGATTGCATTACCCTTCTGTTTGTCTCGGTTCCAGTAAGTTAACGTCACAACAGACACACTCAAGTATTTATTCTAACGAAAGAGGAAGTCGGTGGTTAACATCAGTCCAGCAGCTTCTGTCCCTATACTTTAAATAAAATACAATAAAAAAAAACTTCCAATTAGCAGTTGACAGCAGTAAACTGTTGCAAAATTAAACATGGGTAAAAGACACAACATTAATAATAACAGTTAAAAACTTATACGAAACATGGCAAAAATTGCTCATGAAACTCTGCATATAATTAAACATAAAACTTAATACACAAATAAATGTCTGGAGAAGCAACTTCTTGAATAAACAAAATAAATTTGAAGAATAAATAAACACATTTTGACATCTTTAATTGTGTTAAAATAAAACCCTGGTAAAAATACACCATAGGTATTCTACGCTGAAACAACGGAGTTGGTGTCCTGCAAGTACCAAAAGGTTTCTGGGACACCGTGCAGGTACGCTCGTTTGCCTGAGAATACAGGTAGCATTAAAAATACAGTGGATATCCTGAAAGCATTAACGATACTGAGGCAGAGGGTAGGAAGGTGTTCAGGTCACGTCGGGGTCACCAATGTTTCGAATGTCAGCAGGAAAAGTCAAAAGTAGAATCTCAACGTCTTTTATTACGTTGAGAATAAAAGACGTTTTATTCTCAACGTCTTCCAATCCAAAACAAAAAAGAATGTAGTCCAACTGTGTGTCTTCTCACCTCACCTTCTCCCCTTCACAATGAAAGTATACACTCGGCTGTGAAATATATACATTATATACGCCACAATACAAGCAAAATGGCATTTTGGCATATTTACTTTTAAAATATTGAGCTAAAAAAGCTAAATAAATCATCTTATTACAGCAAAAACTGACACTTTCATGTTGAAAATTTGAATTTTGTGTTTTATTTTTCTTCCAATGACAAACTCTTATTTATCTAATAAACTGAACTTATATCTATTTGTAATCTCAGCTCTTTTATGTTGGTAATGAGCCTTTAGAAACATTCTTGAGAGATAAAGCAAGATATGAGCAGCAACATAATCACATAAACGGTCGCTTGTCAACCTTTGCATTCAGAATCGCTCACTGACATTTATTGTCGTCATAACTGAAAAATATTCAACTTTGATTTCCAGTAAATAGATGGTAATCAAACATGTTGTGCTTTATATGACCTCATAATTTTACCTTTCTTAAAGGAGAGTTTTTCTCCTGTGATGTGAGAAAAACTTCACGTGAGAACATTTAGGGTTTGCTCTGAGCAAACTCCAAAGTTAGTTATTATCCAGCCGGGAATGTCAAGGACAGCGCCGTGTTGATGACATTAAAGGTATTTTTGCAGGAATAAAGCAGAGACCAGTTATAAAAGGGATGGAAAATTTGTTAAAACTGGAATATTTATAGGGAAATGTTATAAAATATTTGTTGTAGTTAAGTTGAGGGGACATTGTGTTTGTTATTATCTTTGGTTTTCAAAAGATGTCTTTAGTGTCACGTCCAGGTTTTCAGCCCAGGTTATTAATTTTTTCTGTCACAAAAAAATCAGCAACAATCTGGCTGAAACATTAACAGAATATTTCACAAACTTCTAAAAGCAGATGATTCGGAGCAACATCTTTACAAAAGAATATAGTTTACAAGATCTTTTTGAAGTTGATGTCATCATAAAGTGGTTGTAAAATCATAATTTTCTTAAATGCTAATATTAGGCTTGGTGTACCTCAAGCTTGTGTGTTCAGCTTTAGCTTGTCATTCCCAAAGTTTGTCCAATTAAACGTAACCTGATGTTTACTAGTGATATGATGGTATGTTGTTATGGAAGGAAAAATCAAGCAGCAGAACTCAAAGTTATAGTAATATGTCAAAACTAATGAATTATGGCTGCTGATTTGATCATCCAGTTCATCAAAGGTTTAGTAAAACAAGCACTGGAGCACCTCAAGGTCTTTTATTTGGTCCCCTGATTTTCTTAGTGTTTTCTGTCTTTGTTCTCTTCAAGCACAAAAAAACAAAGATCCTAAAATGTTGTATCTTCATGAAAATTACAAACTTAAGTTAATGTTTAGATAAAATTAAATATTTTTTTACTAAGCAGCTAAATGTCATGACCTTTCACTGTTATCATTGAGAAAGATAAACAGAACAGGCTGAAACTGGAACAAATGGTCAAGCTGGATGAAAAACCCAGTTATTATTAAGATTTTTTTCTTTCCAAACAGGACAACAAAATAAAATGTATACTTTGTATTTGTGGACTTTCTTTCCCTCCCTCTGTTGAGTAAATTTGGATTCCTTTGCCTAATTAATATTTAAAACATTCTTTATGTTTGAAATATTAATTTCAAGGCAACTTCTTGTTTCTAAAAATCTGGAACTAATCTGGCGTGTATTTAGTTACTAAAATTAAAACACAAAGCCAAAAATTCAGAAAGATGTTTACTATTTGGTTTGCATACCTTTCCCCCTTATTAAATAAAATTATTTCAAAACTGCTTTTTATTATGTTCATTCAGTGGTAAATATTGCTTAATTATGTCAAATTTGTGAAGAAGAAAATTCTGAACCCTACTGTTTCATTATTACACAGTAATTGGTTTGTAATAGTCATTATTGGTCGTAGGATGACAGAATCTGATGTTTCATAACCTTTCTTCTACTTGCTCATCGTGACTCTGCTTTACTGCTTCAAAACCATAAAAGGATATTCATAAAATAAAAGGATGATGGAAAATTGCCCACCAGTTAAAGTCCAATCCAAGAGATAAAATCTGATTATACAAACTGGTGGAAATGTATTTACTCATTAACCAAGAGAAAGGCTTAAAATTGTGTTTCATGAACTCTGTTTCACATTCACTTCTTTTGAAACACTGCTGTAAGCTCAAAATAAAAAGTCTTCTACTGTCAATCTAACTCTTTTTATTGCTTTTATTGTTTTATGAAAATACAAAACCCAGAACGAAGTTCTAAATTAACAGAATTTGCAGAAACAAATTCTGTTAACCTCCAAGCCATGTTTTCTTTTCATTAGCTCAGTAACATGTTGGTAGTTTAGTTAAATTACCATAAATTAACATATTTTGTGTTGCTTACATAGTCATCTCAGCTGGGTTTAACTTAGCTTTGCTTATCTTAGCTTTGTTTCAGTTTACCAGCTAAGTTTAGTACTACTTCTTTCACATTAGCTTAGTTTAAACGAGTTTAGCCTAGCTTCATTTTGCATATCTCAAAAAATAAAAATAAAAAAATATGATATATATATATATATATATATATATATATATATATATATATATATATATATATATATATATATATATATATATATATATATATATATATATATAGTAAGGGAAGCCTGGCATTATTTAGTTTACAATATAATTTTCCACTTTACTTTAATTAATCTTTGCTTAGTTTAGTTCTGCTTATCTAAACAAGCTAGCTTAGCTTAGCCTGTGTAGGTTTTCTCATTCTAGCTGCATTTTGTGTAGTTTTAGCTTAGCTTGTTTAGTAGTTAATTTCCTTTTAGTTTGGCATAGTTCATGTTAGTCTAGAATGTCATACTTGCTTTTCAGTTAGCTTAGCTTAGAACAACTTACCTCACTTTAGCTTAGCTTATTTATTTATTTTAGATGCACTTAGCTTAATTTAAATTAGCAACATTTTGTGTATATTAATTTACCTCTATACGCTTTATTTTAGAGTAATATACTTTACTTAGCTTGCTTTAGATGTCTTTAACCTAGTTGCATTTTGTTAATAATAGTTTTGATTATTGGTCTTTGTCTCACTGTTTTAGCAAGTCAGCTGTTTTTGTGTGTTTTTCTAGAGCGGTTCTGAAATTTGGTGCTGTAATGGAGATAACATCAGTGGGTCCTGATGCAATCATGAACCACTTATCAACAGCCGCTGTGGATTTGGATTATTGATTTATTTATTTGTATTGAACCCTTTTTTTCTCTAGGTAAAACCACACTGAGATTAAAAAAATCTATTTTGCAAGAGAATCCTGGTCAAGACTTGCAGCAGCACACAGAGATTTCAGAACATTAATAAATAAATAAAGAAATTTCAAAATCCTCAGTTGAATCATTTACAAACAGATTATTCCTTCTAAAAATCAGTAAGAACAGCCTTAAATATATATTTCTGCAACTGTCCAAGAAGAGGGAGCAAAATCTGAACAGAATATATTATCTTCAGTTTATCATAACTCAATTAAATGTTTAATGAGAATTAATTCAAATCGAATTTAGGGTTTCTAAAGTTCCTCATTTCAGGGAGTCGCTACTCAGGTAGATGTTCCAGTCTCTGTTAATATGTCACCTGTTGCTGTGAATGGGAGGGGCAGATGGTTACAAATAAAGGTTCATCAGGCATCAGTGCAGGCAGACTGACACCATGGCGAAAGGCTTCTTCATCAGCAAATCTCTTGCAGTCGCAGGGATTATAATAGGAGTGGCTGCCCTGTCCACCATTATCGCTCTGTCTGTCGTTTACTCTCAGGAAAAATCCAAAAACAAAGAAGTGACACCAACCCAGGGAGGAGGAACGACTCCTGAACCCACAACAACACCGACCCCTTCCAACGAACCATGGGACAAATACCGGCTGCCAAAAACCCTGGTGCCGCACGACTACAGCGTGACTCTGTGGCCTCGACTGAAACCACATCCAACGACTGGGCTCTACATCTTCACAGGTAAAGCTGGAAACCTTCAGTCTAGATCTTGTGCCTTTCTTCAGCCACTAGGACTGAGCCCAGCATCATTTTCAAAAATCCAAAATAATCGTGCAGAACAACTAAAATGGATGCAGACTGAAAGTTTCAGGCCTACAAACATTTTGAGTCAAAAGTCAAACATGTGCAACATCTGCAGCAATTTACTGCTTTTCAGTTAAATGACAAAACAAAACAGATTGAGTGATATTTATAATTTACCTCAACACAGTTTGGAATTGTACAGGATTTTTTAAAAGAATGATTACATTTATATTTAAATATAACATTCTTAGAAATAATTTTTTCACTTTTATTGACATAAAACAACCTAGAAAGGCTAAAGCGTGTCGGAAAACACAGTTAATTTAACGGTTAATGAAGGAATATAATTTAGTTTGTTTAATTGGTATCAATAGAGAGTCATCGCAAAACTGAAGCTCGCCTTTCTGAAAGTTTCTGAATTTTTCCAACAAATCTATGGAGGTTTCAAACTCAGAAATGGTCAATGATCGATGGATAATCTGAGATTAGTTTAAAAACAATTTATTTGATATTAGTCCAGTCAAAACAATGGGAAAAGTTCCCTGACTTTCCCTCTTAAGTTCTGCAAAACTGAAAGATGAGGACTAGTTTGATTATTGGGTCCAGATGCACGTTTTAGTTCTGGTTTCAATTCAACACAGTGGGAAACATATGTGCAAAAATCTGCAACTGAAAACGTTTGGATGAGGAGCTAAATTTGCCTTCATGCAGTCAGAAGTAGAACTGAAACATTTCTGACGGCTTTCTTGTGTTTCAGGAAACTCGTCTGTGGTGTTTGAGTGCGTGGAGGAGACGGATCTCATTCTTATCCACTCTAACAAGCTGAACTACACACTAGATTCAAATAATAAGCATGCACAGCTCTCAGCCGTCAACGGTGGCAGCGCACCATCCATCAAGAAGTCCTGGCTGAAGACGGAGACTCAGTTCCTGGTTCTGGAGCTGGACGGTAAACTGGAGAAAGGACGAATGTACCGCCTCTACACCCAGTTCACTGGAGAGCTGGCCGACGATCTGGGAGGTTTCTACAGGAGCGAGTACACAGAGAATGGAGTCAAGAAGTAAGAATATTCTCTGTTTGCATTTAATAAAACATTGTCCTCCTCCAGCCTGCTGTTAAATGTTTTGTGCATCTATGTCATCTTAATGGACTTTTTATCCATTATCACTGGAACCCAAATAACTTTGGCCTTCAATTGCAGTAAAAGGGTCTAATGGATGGACGTAACCACGGCAACATGATCCATAAACAGCCATCGCTAAAACCTCTTGTTGGGAATTTGAATGGAGGGAGGAATGACCTTATTGGTTGGTTTGTTAGTTGGATGGATAATTGGTTGGATGTATGGATGATTGGTTGGTTGGTTAGTAAGTTGGCTGGTTTGTAAGTTAGTTGGTTTGGTTGGTTGGTTGGTTGGTTGGTTGGCTGGTTGGTTGGTTGGTTGGCTGGTTAGTTGGCTAATTGGTTGGTTGGTTGGTTGGTTGGTTGGTTGATTGGATGGTTTAGTTGGTTGGATATATGGATGATTGGTTGGTTGGTAAGTTGATTGGTTTGGTTGGTTGGTTGGCTGGTTGGTTGGTTGGTTGGTTGGTTGGTTGATTGGTTTGGTTGGTTGGTTGGTTGGCTGGTTGGTTGGTTGGTTGGTTGATTGGATGGTTTAGTTGGTTGGATATATGGATGATTGGTTGGTTGGTTGGTTGGTTGGTTGGTTGGCTGGTTAGTTGGCTAATTGGTTAGTTGGTTGGTTGGTTGGTTGGTTGGTTGGCTGGTTGGTTGGTTGATTGGCTGGTTGGTTGGTTGGTTGGTTGGTTGGTTGGTTGGTTGGTTGGTTGGTTGGTTGGTTGGTTGGTTGGTTGGTTTGGTTGGTTGGTTGGCTGGTTAGTTGGCTAATTGGTTGGTTGGTTGGTTGGCTGGTTAGTTGGCTAATTGGTTGGTTGGTTGGTTTGGTTGGTTGGTTGGCTGGTTAGTTGGCTAATTGGTTGGTTGGTTGGTTTGGTTGGTTGGCTGGTTGGTTATTTGGCTAATTGGTTGGTTGGTTGGTTTGGTTGGTTGGCTGTTTGGTTAGTTGGCTAATTGGTTGGTTGGTTGGTTTGGTTGGTTGGCTGGTTGGTTGGTTAGTTGGTTGGTTGATTGGATGGTTTAGTTGGTTGGATATATGGATGATTGGTTGGTTGGTAAGTTGATTGGTTTGGTTGGTTGGCTGGTTGGTTAGGTGGTTAGTTGATTGGATGGTTTAGTTGGTTGGATGTATGGATGATTGGTTGGTTGGTTGGATGTCTGACCCCAGCTGCTCTGTTCCCTCCAGGGTCATTGCGACCAGCCAGATGCAGGCGACCGATGCCAGGAAGTCATTCCCCTGCTTCGACGAGCCGGCGTTGAAAGCTTACTTCAACATCACTTTGATCCACGATAAGGACACTGTGGCTCTGTCCAACGGCGCTGAGATAGGTCAGTTTTATATCTCTGACCACTGGGCAACTTTAAACAAGAAACCTCTGGCCTACTATGCAGGACTCTACAGGATAAAACAAAGAGAATAGGAAATGATTGAAAGTCTGTTTGGGTCTAGTTAAAATTTGGAAACTGGGAATTGCTTCTCAAAGTTAATGGATCCTCTTCACTCATTATCACGAATAAAATGTAGATTTGATTTTTATTTTCATACAGAAACCACAGCCGTCACCTTGGAGGATCAAGAGGTGTTGCAGACGGTCTTTGAGCGCACTGAGAAGATGTCCACCTATCTGCTGGCCTTCATTGTCAGCGACTACGGCTACATCAACAACACTATTGGCGGGGTTAAGGTCACTGCCTCCAGTTTCTTTAACCTCATTGAATTTGTTTGGAGCTTTTATCCACAGATTTATGTTAATCTGTGGATTTATGGGTTAGAATTGTATTTTTGTGTCCGTTTCAGATCCGGATCTTTGCTCGGAAGCCCGCCATCGAAGCTGGCCAAGGAAACTACGCCCTCAACATCACCGGACCCATCCTGAAGTTCTTTGAGGAGTATTATAACTCCAAGTACCCACTGCCCAAATCGGGTCCGTTCAACACTCTGATACTGGCTTTATGACACACACACACACACACACACACACACACACACACACACACACACACACACACACACACACACACACACACACATACATACATTTAGATATCCATATATCCATTTAGGTATCATCCATTCATCATCCATCTATCATCCAGCTTCCATAAATAATACATCCATCTAGAACAACAATTTACCTGAATCGCTTAGGAAGGTGATGGCCAGATTAACATATTCAGTTGCCACAAGTGGCCCCCGCCCCACACTTTGCCCACCACTGCTTTAATGGGACTTCACCAGGAGGGAAACACTGGCATGCTGTGCTTTAGCCTCCTCGCTGACAGCCAGCTTGTTGTTCTGTCTCAGTGAGGGATTATTAGTTTTCCAAATGATATGAAAACATACATGAAGAATTAAACAGCTGAAAAACATGCCTGTATCCCTGCTGGTTTATGAGGCGTCACAAAGAGCATAATTACCTTGTTTTTCAGTCTTCATCGGTTCTGAGGGTTTATAGCGTTTTTACAGCCAATTTACAGCCATAGGGTAATGATTTACCTTTATGGACGATTCAATGAAGACAGTGAAGCTGCTTCAACAGCTTTTCTGAGATTAATTTAAAAACAAATGATCATCATCAGCTGTTCTGGCTGTTTCAGTGTCCAGCCGGAAGTCAGAGCAGTGCTTTTTCTGCTGGCTGGCAGTTTTTTGTGATGCGTTCTGTAAAGATATAATAACAACATTGAGCAGATAAAATCTGAGCCTTTGATTTACAGCCGTTCGTCCAGTAAATAAATTTTATGGCAGTCATCACATCTGAAAAGAACAATGTTTTACTGACCTTCTGTCACCCGAATATCTAAAAATAGAAAAAGTCGTCGCTTCGACCTGAACGATCCAGCTCACACAGAAACAGCTGTTTCTTCCTTCTGCTCTTTCAGGTTCAGTGAAGAACTTACGGAAGGCCAAAAGAGTCAAAATTAAATGAATAAAGCAGCATAAGTCATCAATTAAATGTGCCAATAGATAAATAAATGTCAATTTAAATGTTTAAATCATTGGTTTAATAGACAACTATTTTATGAAATATATCAATATTGTTAAAATGCAAACACTCAAAAGCTTATTTAAATAATTAGCCCTGCTCATTAGTATCAAATTATTTTATATTGACGTTACAGGACCCATGAGATACTTAACTACCCATTTAATTGATGAGTATTAATCTACTTAATTAATACTCATTTAATTAATGATATGTATCAGCTGTTATGTTGCCATGTTGATTAAATCTTTAAAATGTAAACATATATGGTAACCTGTTTACCATATATGTATGGTAAACAGGTTACCATACATATATGGTAACCTGTATATGTATGGTACATATATGGTTACCATATATGTACCATACATATATGGTAACCAAATTGACCACTTGACAAAAGTGGTCAATTTCTTGACCACTTTTGTATAACAGAAATGTGAGGATTTGCAGGTTGTGTCCACTGGAAACTTGCTTGACTCTTTAAAATTTCCTCTGTCCTGCAGATCAGATCGCCATCCCTGATTTTAACGCGGGCGCCATGGAGAACTGGGGTCTGATCACATACAGAGAGTCGAGGGTGCTGTATGACGAGGCCTTCTCCTCCAACTCCAACAAGGAGAGGATCGCCACCATCATCGCTCACGAACTGGCCCACATGGTGAGCTCAGATAAATGCTAAGATGCAGAGACATTCACAGACTGTTATGAGTTATGGGGGAAAGTAAAATGAAAATAAAATCTGGAGGCAAAATACACCAAAGCTTCTCTTCTTATGAACCAGACGTCTGAGAACAGGAAGTAAGTACGGCTCTACGGAGCCCCCTAGTGCACATGGATTGTTTCTTTATTTTCATTATATTATTACTTTATTCTCATAATATAACTTTATTCTCATCATTTTATTACACGTTTTTCTCAATAAGGCTCCATTGTACTTTGGTGAGGTAAAACAAAAAAAGAAATTTCTCCCATGTCCTGTAGGGGGCACTGTAGGACCCAGACTGTTCGGTCATGATTTATTTTAGTTTTTATAGATGTAATTTTCTCATCTTGTCTCTGTTGTCCCTGCAGTGGTTTGGTAACCTGGTCACTCTGCGCTGGTGGAACGACTTGTGGCTGAACGAAGGCTTTGCTTCATACGTGGAGTACCTGGGAGCAGACAAAGCCGAACCCGACTGGAACGTGGTACAAATTTTCTCTACGTTTGACGCTAATAATCGTTCCAGATGTTTGATGACACTCTTCATGGAGACACCTTCCTCTTGTTCCTTGGCAGAAAGACCTGATAGTCCTCAATGATGTGCACAGAGTGTTTGCAGTTGACGCCCTGGCGTCGTCTCATCCGCTGTCCTCCCTTGAAGACGACATCCAGAAACCTGCTCAGATCAGCGAGCTCTTCGATGCCATCTCATACAGCAAGGTCAGGAAGCACATGCAAGCATATGGGATGCCATTTGTAAAGTTACACCGAATAAAATTAACAGCTATACTTTTGGTATATTTAGCCTTCCATAGAGAAAAAAGAATGCACAAACTAAATATTTAGCATGAGACCTAAACTATATATATGGAACTTAATATTTAATTTGCAACTACATTTTCAGTTTGACTTCTGAATTAAAGATTTAGTTTGCTAGCGAAATATTTAGCTCATAACTTGTACGAATTGTAAACAGAGATGGGTAAAAATGCCTCAATGTGCATGTAGGATCTTGACATTATTCCTCTCCTGCATGTCTAATTTCTGAGCCAGGGTGTGTAATAAGATCTATTTTAATGTATATTGTTCTCATCTTCAGGGAGCCTCTGTCCTCAGGATGCTGTCAGACTTCCTGACTGAACCGGTCTTCACCAAAGGACTCCAGGTGACTTCCTGAAAAATATAATCAAACATTAGTTTTCGGATTTTCTGCTGATAAAATGTATTTATAAAAACATGATTATGTCTCTCTCTGTCCTGCAGAGCTACCTGAGGGAGTTTGCCTTTAACAACACGGTCTACACAGACCTCTGGTCGCATCTGCAGACGGTATGTTGTCTTCAGGCACTTTGAACATTCAGGTTGGGTTTTTCTGAAGAAAACTCATCTGTTCGTTCTGGTTCACTCCCCAGACAAATAACAATAAAATCCAAGGGCTCAATTTAAAACTATACTTTGGCTATTACACATTAAAGCTCTTGCTCTTTCAACTAGAAAAACATCTGTTGATCTATATAAATAGATAACACATCTAATAGAATATTCAATATCACTGAACTTTGATCCAGAACCACACAGCATTCTGGGAGATGTAGGCGGAGGGAAGAGTTTAGACATAGCTTAGCTCACATTAAAGCTAAGCTATGTGGGTGGAATCAACTACTTCCCTCTCTTTGGTTGACTAGCAACAACTTGCTGAGCAACTTGCACAGTTTAAGGTTTTGCCAACGTGTGTCATAAATAATTATCCATCTCGACTGATATGAGACGCTTATATTGTGATATGTTTTAATAGCCATATTTTCCAGTCATGACGCCTAACAAAAGTTTTTGATTCAGATGTGAGACAATTAGTCCGGAATGAGTGCAAATTGGATCATCAACAGAAAAACAACAGAAATTGGTTGAAGGAGAGAAGAATCAGTATGTTGTAATGAGAGTTATTTCTGGTAAAGGTGGTTTTATAAGTGGTTCATTTTGTTTTTCCCCTGAGTGTGTGTGCAAAATACTTACACACACGTAAACACACCAGTTTATGAAAGCAAAAACAATGTCTCTTCACCAACAGCACAAAATAAAACCAAAAACATCTTTTAAAGAATTTATCAAAGATTCACATTTTTATTTTATTTGTGTGTTAAAATGTTTTCAAACTGAAGTGAGTTAGTTTGATGTTTTCTGGTGTTCAACAGGCTGTGGACAGCAGTGCAGTTGACCTTCCTAAAAGTGTCCAGGACATCATGAACACCTGGGTGCTGCAGATGGGTTTCCCTGTGGTCACCATTGATACCGCCTCCGGCACTGTTTCCCAGAAGCACTTCCTCCTGAACCCGGACTCCGAAGTTACCGCTCCATCTCCCTACAAGTACGTAAATAGCTCTCTGGTATTTTTACAAGAATGCCTATGCTATCACAAACTGGTTTCCCTCAAAATCATTTCACTGTCTATAAAAAGTGGGTCTGAAAGTGCTAACAGTGGTTTGTTTCTGCTCCAGTTATCAGTGGAGCGTTCCGATCAGATGGAGGAAGACTGGCGTCGATCAGCGTCTCATATGGCTGACGGAAAAATCAGGTATAAAAATATCAAATGACCATGTGATTCAATCATTTCTGTTCTCACAGAGTAGCCAGTTAGCAGCTGGTTTGTTTTTCTTTTAATATTTTTGGGATTGATTGAAGTTTGATTTTAGACAACTGCATAGTGAAAGAGTACATTTCCAAGAAAAAATTCAGAAATTTCTGAGATTTAAAGGCGGAAAATTCGCAAGGAAAAAAAAAATCTCTAAATTTTCTTGCAATAAAAATTTGTGGGAAAATTTTCTCACAAATTTATTTCTCCTTTTTTCCCTGTTTACAGTAACTATAGTAATTACAGCAAGTATAGATGAAAATAGGGTAAATATCATCAGCAACCACACTTACAAAATTATTAATGAAGATAAAGCTTATTTGAGATTTGTTTGTGCTTTTTATCTTCTAAAAATCTCAGAAATGTTGCTTTGAATTTTCAGGCAAACATTTAGTGAAGCAATTTCAGCCTAATTAGCGGATTAAATGAACTTTTGTAATACATTTAATAGAGAAAGAAAGAAAAGCCCTGAGCTGCTCTGACCAGCAAAAAGCAAATCTGTTCTCACTGAACCTTTAATGGCCAACCTGGCAACCCCAACCAAGCCCGTTACCTGGCAACCCCAACCAAGCCCGTTACCTGGCAACCCCAACCAAGCCTGTTACCTAGCAACCCCAGTAAAGCCCAGCCTGTCACCTAGCAACCCAAGCTAGGTGACAGGCTCAAAGATACTTTAGTGCTCCCAAAGGGAAGTTAAATCTTATTGAAACTCATATCGTTAAATGTGTGGTCAGCAGATTTTACCTCTGTACAATGAACGCTGGAAAAGTGTTTTTCTTCATACATACATTTTTACATTGATGACAGCGTGAATGCTTCTCACGGCTTCCATGTAGCTGTAAAAAAAAAAAAAAAGCAGCACTGCACCAGCTTTTACTTAAAACCCCAATAAACAAGCAGTTTTTGCTTTCTGTTTAATCTAACCAGTTTTAGCTGCATCCAAATCTGGTTATAATCAGTTTCTCAAACTTGGATCAGTACATCAGAATTTTAAATACAGTGACCCGGATGCTGTACTTATTTCTTAGTTTCCAGGCTAGAACAAGAGAGTCCAGATCACCCCAAAAGACTTCATGTAATAGAAAGCTTTGACATTGTCGCTTTAAATCAAAGCTGCATGTTTAGCACTTGAAATGGCAGAAAATTGCAAATATTCACAAGAATGAAACAAAATCAAATTTCCCACTCTAACGTAAAAAAATAATTTCTCCTGAAGCTACAAATAACGACATGAAGGTGACGGGGGATTCTGACTGGGTGCTGGCCAACAATGATGTGGTTGGATACTACAGAGTCAACTATGATGATGGCAACTGGAACAAACTGCTGACCGCTCTGATCACCAACCACCAGGTAGGAACAGCTTCCTGAAGGCTTTTCCGTCCATGTGGCTCACAGGACCTGACATGTTGCTGTTTGTGTTTAAGGTCATTCCAAAGATCAACAGAGCTCAGCTGGTGGACGATGCCTTCAACCTGGCCAGGTAAGTCTGACGCTGACAGACAGAAACAGGGATGAGGGTCAACATGATAAAACCATTAAGGGTCAACATAATAAAACCATTAAGGGTCAACATGATAAAACCATTAAGGGTCAACATGATAAAACCATTAAGGGTCAACATGATAAAACCATTAAGGGTCAACATGATAAAACCATTAAGGGTCAACATGATAAAACCATTAAGGGTCAACATGATAAAAGCCCACGGTGTTGTTAGAAATCTACCATTGTAGATAAAAAAAACCCCAGAAATTTTGAGAAATTTTCTGTAAAAAACCTTTCTGTCAAAAGTCTAAAATCTTCAACTTTTCAAACTCAGAACATTTCAAAAAGTATAAAATTTTCAACTGTTGTAACTCAGAAATGTCCATGTTTTATCAAGAAAATTTCTGAGATTAATCTAAAAATTTCAGAGCTTTTTATGGCATTTTTTACTTTTCAAACTCAGAAAAGTATTTGTCTTTTCTTGTACATTTCTAAGTACAGGAAAAGAACTCAGAAATTTCTGGGTTTTTAGTAAATTATGAGATAATTTTTTAAAAAATTTCAAATATTTTAACTTTTTGAACTCAGAATTTTCTGTCTTTTATAGTTAATTTCTGAGATTCTTCTCAAAGTGTTGGAGCTTTTATTAGGAATTTCTTTCTATCTATAACGACCCTAATTTAAATTTTGTTCAAACGCTGAATTTGAATACATCGTCGCAGAGACGTACAGCGTTGAGCTTGTGAAAACTCAGATTTAGAAACAAATATTTCCTAAATTGACCTTTGTTGTCGTCTGAGCGAGTAAACATAAATCCCACTGCCTGTCGTTCCCCAAAGAGCTAAGATCATCCCGACAGTTCAGGCGCTAAAAACCACCCTGTACCTGAAGTATGAGAGGGAATACATGCCGTGGGAATCTGCTCTGGACAACCTGGACTTCTTCTTCCTGATGTTCGACCGCAGCGAGGTTTACGGAGCCATTCAGGTGCTCGTCTGTCCTGCCTCAATCTATGAACGTTTCTTTACATTTTCCAACCTTTGTTTAATATTTTATTGCCTATTACTGTGGATTTCATGTTTGCAGGAATATCTGAAGAATCAGGTTGCCCCCTTGTTCCAGTACTACAAAGAGATAACAAGTAACTGGACCAGCATACCAGATGGTCATATGGACCAGTGAGTGCATAATAATACAATATAATAATACTTTCAGTTACTTTTATCTTAGTCGTACTTCAAATATACTAAGATATTGTATTTTTCTAGTGAATTTATCCACACAGGCTCAACATATTTTGTCTAAGTGCAGCTGGTAGTTTATTTTTGCTTTGGTTAAACAAAATATAATTTGTTTAACCACACAAAATGGTTGAACAAATTTAAAGAGACAGAGGCAAAACAAAAGCTCATTCTAAAAGCAGCACAACATATTATCCATGAATGATTTTATGGAAAAAAATGTAATGAACAAGTTTTTTTATTGTCTATAGACAAATCCTGATCTGTTTAAGAAGGCATTATAAGTCCAAACCAGCATTGTCTAATTTGACAATCTTCCTGCAGGTATAATCAGGTGAACGCCATCAGCCTGGCCTGTAAGACCGGGCTGCAGGAATGTCAGGATCTGGTCCAGTCGTGGTTCAAAGTGTGGATGGACACAGACGAAAACCCGTGAGTGGCAGAACATTAAGTCAGTCCTCTGAGTCCTCTCAGTGCTTCAAGGCTGCTTCATCATCATGGTGATGTCGTCTCTCTCCAGAATCCACCCCAACCTGCGCCAAACCGTGTACTGTAATGCCATCGCAGCAGGGGGCGCCGAAGAGTGGGAATTTGCCTGGAAGAAGTTCAAGAACGCCACCATTGCTATTGAAGCTGATAAACTGCTTGCAGCGATGGCCTGCACTACTAAACCGTGGCTGCTCAACAGGTTGGTTCAAATGATGCTAATGACAGCAGATACTTCACACAGGAACGATGGAGCGTCTCATGCAGACATGTTGTTATGGGCCCCAATAAAAACCTCCTCAGGGCCCCAAAAGTTTGATTCAACAGATTTTTAAACTAACAGAAGTATTTTAAAGTCAGTTTTGTCTCACGCTGGTTTTGCTCCTCAGGTATCTGGAGTACACTCTGGATCCAAGCCGGATCCGGAAGCAGGACGCCACCTCCACCATCGTCTACATCGCCCAGAATGTGGTGGGCCAGTCTCTGGCGTGGGACTTCATCAGGGCTCGGTGGAGCTACATCTTCACTCAGTGAGTGGGACACTGAAGCCATGTGAAAGTCACATGCAGACATGACCTGTTGGGTAACATCTGTCAACTTAAAAACCATAAATTCCACCTTTATGAAGGGAGATGGCCGTTTTTATGAGGCTGTTCACCATCAATTAAAGGTTTTATTGATCAAGACTGTCCTCAGTTTATCTTTGATCCTCATAAAACCATCTGTAGTTAAGTTTGGTATTTTCTTTAGGTCAATGGCAGAGTGAAATCACAGAGACATTTATTGCACGATAGCGTCGTCAGATTTACCCACTAATGTATACAAGAGGAGTATTAGATCAGCTGATGCTGGAGGCATGTGAAGGAAGTTTGTTTTGTTCCTTTCTCATCTGGTGATGTTTCTTCTCGTAGGTACGGCGGTGGATCCTTCTCCTTCGCCAACCTCATCAATGGAGTCACAAAACGCTTCTCCACAGAGTTTGAGCTTCAGCAGGTTAGAGAACATTTTTATTTGTATCATCAGCTGATTAATGAGATGTTTTAATTTACTTGCCTGATTTGTGAACATTCAGCTGAATAAAGTTCAACATTGGTGTCAAAGTTTGGATCTGGTCAGAATTCCTCAAATAGTTAAACGTTCATGCTCTTATTTTGAAGTTGTTGAAGATTGATTGGACAGCAGTTAACATAAAAACATCAATGCAATAACTAAGGTTATTGTAAGACATGCAACTTATAATATCAAATTAAATTGGTACTCGAAAGTTGAAGGTTTTCAGGTGCAGATATAATTTAAAGTGAAGTTTAACATTAACTCATTACCTAATGTTTATTATTGGTGCTTCAGGGTTAGCTTAACCAACTTTTTAATTAGCTGGTTAAGATTACCTGCTTTCAGAAAATCTGAATCAGAACTTTACTTGGAGAGTTTTTGCTCTCAAGAAATTTGACTTTCCTCTCAATGAAGACAAATACATTCACAAGGATTTTACAAAAGTAGAAGAAATGATGTAAATGTAGATTTAGGCTACAAGAGAACATTTAAAGGTTGTGAAGTCAGAAAATCTGTAGAAAAGGTAGCAGAAGAGTGTTTTATCAGAAATCAGGCCTGTTTTCCCAAAAGCAGATTGAATGAATAAATGTGAAACAGCTTAAAATACCATCGATAAGCCATAGATAGAGCAGACCTAATCAATGATGTTCTGTGTGGTTTCAGCTGAAGGAGTTCAAGAAGGATAACGCTGAAGTGGGTTTCGGATCCGGGACTCTGGCAGTGGACCAGTCCATCGAGAGGACGCAAGCCAACATGGACTGGATCAAAGAGAACAAAGAAAATGTTATAAACTGGTTCAAGAATCCAGTTTAGATCATGAGAAACACAAAATCTTATTCCTATTTATTTAATTAGAAATTCCTCTTTCATAAAAATAACTTGTTTTTTTTCAAGAAGTTTATTCTTTCTTATGTCCAATGATTAGTTTTACATCTCAAAGAAGCATTTAGGTGGCATTCAGCTTTAACTTCACCACTAAAGTTATATTTTATTTCAAGAAAACTGAGAAGTGCCTCAATAAACATCAAACTAAAACAAATGTGACGCCAAAATGTGAAAATGAGATTAGAGAAAATTTGTTTTTGTTCCTTTAAATTTTTCTAAATGTTTCAAAACAATTAAGGGAATAAACTTTTAATCAACAGAAAGTGGATTATTATAAAAAGCAGATTTTTTTATTTTATTTATTAAGTTTGTTTTGGTAATGAAAGCTGTCGTCAAACATCATATCAGCCTGAACCAGCTGCTGTCTTTTGGAGACAAGGGATAAATCTTGGAGTAATTTATTATATCTTGAGTCTAAATTCATAAATTTATGTTATGTGTTCATGTGTTTGCTCTGATTTTATTCAGGATGTTTCGAATTGCGCTCCATGTCCTTTATCATGAAGAAGTTTCTGTAAATTATTTTAGACATTTCATAAATCCACAGATAATTAAACTGTTTGTACAGAAATCAAACTGTGTTTAAAAGTGAGCGTATTTAAACATCTTAAAGCAATAATTTACCCTGTTTAGAAAAAACCCAATAAACTATTTAATTAAGTTGCTGTTTGTCTTGTTTTTTTCTGCAACACATGTACTATGATCCACTCTGGCTTTTATAAATCAAAGAAAACAATAAGAAAATCTGATCTCAGCAGTTCTTCTGTATTTGCAATCAATACTTACTTAAGCTCTGCTCAAAACTTTTCTACTTTAAAAATAGATCTTTTTTAATCCTTGCAGAAAAGTTGGTCAAAAGAATAATTGGAAAAGAAAAACACGACATTTCAATACAAGATATTGAAAGAAATAAAAATGCATTTAAAAGTGCATTTTGAATGAAATTCATAATCAACATGATAAAAAAAAATATCACCCTAAAATAAATGATCTGGCCAAACTTAATTCCATTTGCATCAAAGTTCTGTGACACAACAAATGAAGAATCAGAAATAAAAGTCCAGGGAGCCAGAAAGGTGGTGGAAGCGTTTCATCCTGGGATGACTTCCTGGAGGCAGAGCTTCAGAAAGAGCAGGAGGTTTTAAAGAGACAGAGACCCAATTTCAGGGTGTTTAATTAGGAAGAAAAACATTTCTTTTATATTTGATATGTACAACATTTGATTGTGAACTTGATTATAAAAATACATAAAACTGCTGCTTTAAAATGTAACATTTAGATTAAATTAGTATTTATTTTGGGACAAATTCAAATATATCTTAGATATAGTTATGACATTTGCAGAAATGAACCCTGATGACTTTTCTTTGAGTCACGTTCTTTTCAATGCAAATACAGTAGATAAGTTACCTCTGTCTACTAACCAACTCTCCGTGTGTCGCCTTCCACTGACGGTGAGACGTTTGGATCCGACATTGTTGAAGTTTGTCGCTGCTTCGGAATCAACGCTGCAATCAGGGGCTGTCTTCATGTTGGGTCCAGGTTTGTATCAGAAACTGAATCTGACTTCAGTTTCTGATTGACTGATCAATCAATGTGGAAATGAGATCACCTGCTTGATATTTATGAAATGAGTTTTAGACCTATGTTGGGTCAAATTATACTCTGAATTATTTGTAAGGTATGTAAAACAAAAGTATATATATATATATATATATATATATATATATATATATATATATATATATATATATATATATATATATATATATATATATATATAGCTGACTGGATAGCTCAATACATAAGGCATCAGTATATCACCCGAGAGGGCAGGGTTCGAATCCAGTCTGGGTCCTTAGGCAAGACCCTTCAAGCTACTGCCTACCTCATACCATGAGAGATACTAAGTTGCATAACATGCCGGCTCAGACATCGCCCGGCCAAACAAGGTCTGCGTCAGGTGTTGGGGAACCAGAGCACCTTGATGACAAATGGGCTACTGGAACAAGACGGAAATGGGCGAGAGATGAAAATGTGGATCTGTTGGAATGCTACTACTCAAGTAACCCTAGTGAGAGAGGTTACATGCAAAGACTGGGGAAGGAATGGTCACTTCGACATCCCCAGTCAACACTAAGTGCTAAACAACTAGTAGCTCAGTGTTCCAACATCCGCAAACGGCAACTGCTATCACAACTTGAGATTGACGAGATACAACACAAATGCTACGGCAAAAGGGAGGAACCCAGATGTCAGAACTGTGGGGACTTAACTACAAGTCCCCACCCAGTGAGGGGATACACGGCCCCAATGAGCGAAACAGAGCTGAACGAGACAGCTGCTGACCTGAGAGAGAGAATCATGACCCGAATGACAACCAGGCCTCCTCGGCGCCAATTACAACGGCTGAGTGAAGTACCATCAGAAAGTCTCATTGAGAATGTGAATGCAGCATTGAGAACGATCCCTACCAACACCATAACAGAAACCAATGAGCTGATCTACAACTCAGCATCAGTGATCCTTGAGATACTTGGCTATAAGAGCAACCATGAGACCCAATACCCACCATGGAAAAGACGGTTAGAGGCTAAAATCAAGGTAACAAGGAGGGAAGTGAGCCAACTGTCAGAGCTCCACAAGGGTACAATGAAAAGACCAGTACCCAGAAAGTACAGACAGATGCCCATACCTGAAGCACTTGAAACTGCCAAACAGAGGCTCCAAGCCTTGGCCAGCCGCCTAAAGAGATACACAAGGGAGAATGAATCCAGAAGGATTAACCGGCTCTTCTCCACTCAACCAGCTAAGGTGTACTCTCAATGGCAGGGTAATAACAACAGAGCAGACCCACCAAGGCTGGAGACTGAACAATACTGGAAAGGCATATGGGAAAGGGAGGCGTCCCACAACAGCAATGCACAGTGGCTGATCTCTCTACGAGAGGACCACAGCAACCTCCCTGAGCAAGCCCCGGTAACCATCACTGCGACAGATGTTCAAGAAAGAGTCTCAGGCATGAAAAACTGGACAGCACCAGGGCCTGACTTGATCCATGCCTACTGGCTAAAGAAACTCACTGCTCTCCATGAGCGACTGGCAGCCCAAATGAACCAGCTGCTACAAAGTGGGACTCACCCTGAATGGTTAACTGAAGGGCGGACAATCCTAATCCAGAAGGATCCATCAAAGGGTCCAGTCCCACCCAACTACCGACCAATAACCTGCCTCTCCACAACCTGGAAGCTCATGTCAGGCATCATAGCGGCCAAGATAAGCAAACACATGGATAAACACATGAGCACGGCACAGAAGGGTATCGGTGTAAATACCAGAGGAGCCAAACACCAACTCCTCGTAGACCGCACAGTTGCCCGAGACTGCAAAACCCGACACACCAACCTGTGCATGGCTTGGATCGATTACAAGAAAGCCTATGACTCAATGCCGCATACTTGGATCATTGAATGCCTAGAGATGTATAACATCAACAGGATTCTGAGAGCCTTCATTGCAAACTCGATGAAGCTGTGGAAAACCACCCTTGAAGCCAACTGCAAACCACTTGCACAAGTGTCCATCAAATGTGGCATATACCAAGGAGATGCTCTGTCCCCGCTACTGTTCTGCATAGGCCTGAACCCCCTCAGCCAAATTATCAACAAGACTGGCTACGGATACCGACTCAAAAATGGGGCCAACATCAGTCACCTCCTCTACATGGATGACATCAAGCTGTATGCCAAGAGTGAGCGAGACATCGACTCACTGATCCACACCACAAGGATCTACAGCACTGACATTGGGATGTCATTCGGACTAGAGAAGTGTGGTCGGCTGATCACAAAGAGGGGGAAGGTGATCCGCACAGAAGGAGTCTCACTCCCACAAGGAACAATAGCAGACATAGAGGACAGTTACAAGTACCTAGGTATACCACAAGCAAATGGCAACCTCGATGAGGCCACAAAGAAAGGAGCCACAGCTAAATACCTCCAACGAATAAGGCAAGTCCTGAGAAGCCAGCTCAATGGCAAGAACAAATCCGTGCGATAAACAGCTATGCCCTGCCAGTAATCAGATACCCTGCTGGAATAATCAGCTGGCCAAAGGAGGAGATAAAAGCCACAGATATTAAGACTAGAAAGCTACTAACCATGCATGGAGGGTTCCATCCCAAATCCAGCACCATGAGACTGTACACGAGCCGCAAGGACAGAGGCAGAGGACTAGTGAGTGTGAGAACCACTGTCCAGGACGAAACAACTAAGATCCATAAATACATCAGGGACAAAGCCTCAACAGACAATGTGCTCAGTGAATGTCTCAGACAACAGGGAACGGAGGTTGAGGTGCCAGAGATACCATCATGGGAGGACAAGCCCCTACATGGGATGTACCACCAGCAAATAACCCAAGTGGCTGATATCAGTAAATCCTACCAATGACTGGAAAAAGCTGGACTCAAGGACAGCACAGAGGCCCTCATCCTGGCCGCCCAGGAACAGGCCCTAAACACCAGAGCAATAGAGGCCCAGATCTACCACACCAGACAAGACCCAAGGTGTAGGTTGTGCAAGGAGGCCCCTGAGACAGTCCAGCACATCACAGCAGGGTGCAAGATACTGGCAGGGAAAGCGTACATGGAGCGACATAACCAAGTGGCAGGCATAGTGTACAGAAACATCTGTGCAGAATATGGACTGGAAACCCCGAGATCAAAGTGGGAAACACCCCCAAAGGTGGTGGAGAACGCCAGAGCTAAGATCCTGTGGGACTTCCAGATCCAGACAGACAAAATGGTAATGGCGAACCAACCAGACATTGTCGTAGTGGATAAACATCAGAGGAAAGCCGTTGTGGTAGATGTAGCAATACCAAGGGATTGCAACATCAGGAAAAAGGAGCACGAGAAACTGGAGAAATACCAGGGCCTCAGGGAAGAACTGGAGAGGGCCTGGAAGGTGAAGACCACAGTGGTGCCTGTGGTCATCGGGGCCCTCGGGGCAGTAACCCCCAAACTGGAGCAGTGGCTACAACAGATCCCAGGAACAACATCAGACATCTCAGTCCAGAAATGTGCAGTCCTTGGCACAGCCAAGATACTGCGCAGAACCCTCAAGCTCCCAGGCCTCTGGTAGAGGACCCGAGCTCAGAGGATAAGAACCACCCGTGGTGGGTGAGAAGGGAATTTTTTTACATATATATATACACACACACACACACACATATATATATATATATATGTAAATGTAAATAAAGGAATTATTTTTTTTTATTTGCATTTTTAATGTTTCTCAAATAAAAATAAAAATATGTATATATGTAAATATACCTATATATGTGTATGTATATATATATATATATATATGTGTGTGTGTGTGTGTGTGTATATATATATATATATACATATATACACATATATAGGTATATTTACACATATGTGTGCGTATATATATATATAAATGTATATATATATACACATATATGTATATACACATATGTGTGTGTATATATATATATATACATATATATATATATATATATATATATATATATATATATATATATATATATATGTCTTATTTTAGAAAGAAGGAATTTATTTATTTTTATTTGCATTTTTAATGTTTCTCAAAAAAAAAATATATATATAT